GATATCTACATTCATCTATCTTAATAAAAAGTTCCCTTTTATCCTTCTTTAAATCCTTAGGTGTTCTCAATTCCTGCCCATCCATAGTATTCCTTAGTTGAATATCCTCCTTTTTAAACCATTTTCCTACACTCTCCTCCTTACCTGGTGGAAAATACTCCATATTCCTCAGTGACATTAATTGTGAATTAAAATCCCATTTCATAAACTTGTGCAAATTATCCCAAACCTTTAAAACATTTAATGTATAAACACTCGTGGTATCTTTTAAACCTCTGTATTGTGCGGGTACCCATATGATTTTACTCAAGTTAACTCCACTTAATTCATTTTCAATCTTGACCCACCTTTTCCCCTCTGGGTTGTGTGTCCAGTCATAAATTCTTGCTAAGACTACTGCTCTATAGTACCTCTTGAAATCTGGCACTCCCAATCCTCCCCTCTCTTTACTTCTACTCATCATTACTTTGAAAAAAACCTCCGGAAGTCTAATTGGGATCATCTGAAATTTATACAGGATTTTAGGTACAATTACCATTTTTATCAGATTTTACGCCCTAACCAAGACGGGTTACCCCCTCCCAATTTCTTCAATTCCTCCTTAATCTCATTTAAAAGTGCAATATAATTTGATTTATACGAATTCGTATATGAAGCAGTAAGTTTAACCCCTAAATATTTTATCTCTCCATCTTTCCATATAAAAGGGAATTCTTTTTTATCTTTTCTTTCTCACTGTTTGGAAGATTTACATTTAAGAGATCTCAGTTTTTGTTGGGTTTATTTTCAGATTTGTTAACTCCCCATACTCCTTTAAGCTCTTCATTAAATTTGGGAGTGTTATCCTAGGATTTCCCACGTAGAACAACAGGTCGTCCGCAAAAGCTGCCACTTTATGTTCAATTTCTCCTATCTGTATTCTTTTTATATCCATATTTTTACTAATTGTTGCCAGCAAAGGTTCCAATGACAACACATACAACAATGGGGACAGTGGGCATCCCTGTCTTGTTCCATTTGACAACCCAATAGGCTCCGACCTTTCTCCGTTAACCAAAATAACCGCAGAGGGCTCTCTATACAATTTTCCTATCCACTCCCTCACTCTAACTCCCACTCCTATAATCTCCAGAGTGTCCATCATAACGCTCCAGTCTACTCTATCAAATGCTTTCTCAGCATTGATCGAGAGCACCACTGCTGGGGGTTTTCCCCTTCCTAGCTTTCTGGATAAGCAACAAAGTTCTGATCCCATTGTCTCTACCCTTCCTCCCTGGTACAAATCCCACCTGGTCCCCCTGAATCCATTCTGGCATTAAATCTTTCATCCTATTTGCTAAAACCTTTGCATATAACTTCGTGTCTATGTTCAAAAGTGAGATTGGTCTATAGCTAGAGCACTGAGGAGCATCCTTCCCTTCCTTATGAATAAGCACCACATGGGCCTGTAGGGATTCCTGCCTTATCTCCATCTCCCCACCCAGGGCGTTCATATAATCCTTCAACTTAGGTATTACCAATTCACTATATTTTATATAGTACCTCACAGTATAACCGTCTGGGCCTGGGCTTTTCCCCGTCATGGTACTTTTCAATGCTATTTTTATTTCCTCCTGTGTGATTTCTGAATCCAGGGACTTCAATTGATCTTCATTTACCTTCGGTAGTCCTGCGTTTTTTTAAATATACCCTTCTTTTTTCTCCACTCGCGTTACCACTTTTATTTACTAAATCCTGAGAGTTAATATTATACAGCTTGCTATAATATTCCTTAAACACCTTAACGATCTCTTTAGTAGAATAAGCCATTTCTCCCTTGGGGTTTCTTATTTTTTCTATAAAATTCCTATTTTTCTTTTTCCTCAAGGCTCTCATTAAATATTTTCCTGGCCTATCTCCCCATCTATACCTCTCCCTTGCCACTTTATTAAATACTCTTCTCCTCTCCTCTTCCATCAATACCTCCAGTTCTTCCTTCTTTTTTGTTACCTTCTGTCTTATCCCCCTTGTTATTCTATTTTTATGGATTTGCTCCAGGTCAGATATTTCTTTTAAGAGGCTCGTAAGTTTCTCTCTTCTTTCCCTTTTTTTTTTTGCCCCGGACGCAATCAATATACCTCTTATATAGGCCTTATGGGACCCCCAAACTGTAGCCACCGACACATCCCCTGTCTCATTTTCCTGAAAAAATCTTTCCATCTCCTCCCTAATCTTCTGATCAATCTCCTGGTCCAGTAGAAGAGCCTCATTTAGCTTCCATCCTACACCACCTGTCAATTTTTCCTCCCCCACCCTACTTTCAGTGTAACAGGGGCATGGTCTGAGAGAGTCATTGCCTCTATTTCTACTTTAACCACCCTCTCAATAAGTTGATGATCTACCATTATGTAGTCCAATCTCGAATACATCTCATGTGCATTAGAGAAGAAGGTATAGTCTCTCTCTTTTCCATGCATTATTCTCCAAATATCCACCAGCTGACACTCATGCATCACCTTCTTTAAAGTTCTCAGAGACCCACCTCCCTCTCGCTGCACAAAAGAGGTCGTATCCATTTGTGGATCCATACAGAAATTCAAATCCCCCGCCACTATCAACCATCCCTTTTTAAAGGCCATCAGTTTTCTCAATACCCCTTTCAGGTATATCTCCGGTCTCTTATTTGGCTAATAAATATTCGCTATTGTACATTCCATCTCTTGCAATCTACCTTTCAAAAACAAAAATCTCCCCTCAGGATCTATTTCTCTCTCCTCTCCAACTCCAACCTTATATTTTTTGCAAACCCTGTTGCCACTCCCTTAGCTCTCTTAATTGTGGAATCTGCGTAAAACCATGTTGGATAGTTTCTAGTGTTCAACTTAATATTTGACTTAATCTCAAGATGTGTCTCCTGCAAGAAGACCACCAAAGCTTCTCTATGGTGTAATTCTTTAAATAGCTTAAATCTCTTCCCAAGACAATTCAACCCATTTACTTTATATGTTATAAACCGTATTTCCGCCATACTTCTTGTACACTTCTCCTCCTTATGCAGAGTGTTTTTAATACCCCCACCCCATTCCCTCCTACTCCCCCTCCCCTAATGCACCCCTCCCCTCTCTCCTCCCTCCCTCCCTCCCTCCCTCAACTCGAACCCTTACCCCCCCCACCTCCCTCCCCCTAGCCTTCCCCCCCCCCCCATTCCCCCCACAACACCCCTCCCTCCCTCCCATTCCACCCTCCTCCCTACTAGGCCTACTATTGCCTTCAAATCAGTTGTGGCCCTAGTGCCACATTTGATTCTGACCTCGGGGTTGAGCTCTGCCCATGTACGGCTCGCCTTCCCCCCATTCCCCCCTGTACCCCCGATGTCCCCCTTTCTGTCAATTCTATATTTCTCCTTCTAACTAGCTGCCATTCCTCTTTTCCCACAGCACATGTCTCTCCTTTTTCTTCCTCCTCCCATCCTGGGATCTCTATTCCCTGGATATTAAATGTCTCACAAAAGTCTCTTAATTCATCAGGGAATCTCAGAGATGCAGAAACTCCATTCTTCCATCCAATTAGGCACACCGAGCTACCCCATCTATATTGTATATTCTGTTTTTTCATCTGTTCTAATAGTGGTTTCAACGATCTCTTTCTCCACAATGTCTCAGCAGTCAAGTCCGCAAAAACTTGTATATTTTTTTCCTCCATGTGTAATACTTGTTCTTCCTTTTATCTTCTTCCATACCTCTTCCCTTTCTCCATATTTATGGAATTGTACAACTACATCTCTTGGTCTCTCTTCCACCCAATCCCGTTGAAACCTTCCTATCCTATAAACATTATCCAGGTCGAATGTTTCAGTACCAGGCTTATTCATGATGGAGTTTAAAATTTCACACATTGTCCCTCTTAGATCTTCTCCTTGTGTGAGCTCCGGAACTTCTTTTTATCCTAAGATTATTTCTCCTATGCCAATTTCCTTGTATCTCCAACATATATACCGTATTTTCCGGCGTATAAGACGACTTTTCAACCCATGAAAATCTTCTGAAAAGTCGGGGGTCGTCTTATACGCCGGTGCGAGCCGGTGTCAGGGCAGCACTTTTTTCGAGGGGCGGCGCTGCCCCCCCTCCTCCTCCAACGGACACTAAGTACAGGGGTGGGCAGAGGGGTTGCTGTACCTTACCTGGCTCCGGTCCCGGTCCCACGACGATCCGGTCCAGGAAGCGTGGCTGCTCCTTCTTTCAGTTCGGCCGCTCGATGGTCGCGCGGCCGCTCGGCTCCGCCTCCTCACCGGTGATTGGGCGCCAGCACTGGAAAGGCACACAGGCGACCAATCACCGGCGAGGAGGCGGAGCTGAGCGGCCCCGCGAAAATCAAGCTGCCGCTCCTCTCCCCCACTGACACTAACAATGGGGCACTATTCCTCCTCCACAGTGACACCAACGATGAGGCACTGTTCCTCCCCCACTGACACCAACGATGAGGCACAGTTCCTTCCCCACTGACACCAACGATGGGGCACTATTCTCCCCACTGACACCAATGATGGGGCACTATTCTCCCCACTGACACCAATGATGGGGCACTATTCTCCCCACTGACACCAATGATGGGGCACTATTCTCCCCACTGACACCAATGATGGGGCACTATTCTCCCCACTGACACCATTGATGGGGGCACTATTCCTCCTCCCCACTGACACCATTGATGGGGCACTATTCTCCCCACTGACACCAATGATGGGGCACTATTCCTCCCCCACTGACACCAACGATGGGGCACTATTCCTCCTCCCCACTGACACCAACGATGGGGCACTATTCCTCCTCCCCACTGACACCAACGATGGGGCACTATTCCTCCTCCCCACTGACACCAACGATGGGGCACTATTCCTCCTCCCCACTGACACCAATGATGGGGCACTATTCCTTCCACTGATACCAATGATGGGGCGCTATTCCTCCCACTGACACCAATGACGGGGCGCAATTCCTCCCACTGACACCAATGATGGGGCGCAATTCCTGCCACTGATACCAATGATGGGGCGCTATTCCTCCCACTGACACCAATGATGGGGCGCAATTCCTGCCACTGATACCAATGATGGGGTGCTATTCCTCCCACTGACACCAATGATGGAGCACTATTCCTCCCACTGACACCAATGATGGAGCACTATTCCTACCCCCCACTGACACCAATGATGGGGCACTATTCCTCCCACTGACACCAATGATGGGGCACGATTCTTCCCACTGACACCAATGATGGGGCACGATTCTTCCCACTGACACCAATGATGGGGCACTATTCCTCCCACTGACTAATGATGGGACACTATTCCTCCCACTGACTAATGATGGGGCACTATTCCTCCCACTGACACTAATGATGGGACACTATTCCTCACACACTGACACTAATGATGGGGCACCATCATTGGTGTCAGTGGGAGGAATAGTGTCCCATCATTGGTATCAGTGGGAGGAATAGTGCCCCATCATTGGTGTCAGTGGATGAAATAGTGCCCCATCATTGGTGTCAGTGGGAGGAGTAGTGCGTCATCATTGGTGTCAGTGGGAGGAATAGCACCCCATCATTGGAATACCATACTGAAATAGCATACCATATTGAAATCAAATCTGATGTTTTTTCATTTTTATTTGGTGTGTGTTGGAAGAGGGGTAGTCTTATACGGCGAGTATAGCTTAAACCCTATATTTTAACAGGAAAAGTAGGGGGTCGTCTTATACGCTCATCTTCGTTATCTGGTTTTTTAAGTCTGGAATAGCATGGGCATGCTTTTTAATTTTTTCTTCCATTTCTTCTACTCTGGATAGTAATTGTCCCAAATCATTCCGAATTATCCCCATCTCTTGCTTAATGGATTTTTCCATTTTTTAAACATTTCTGCCATCTCCTTTTTGTTTGGGATTTGCAGTTCTCCTTCATTTTCTCTCAGCTCCATTCCCTCTGGTATTTGTTGGCTACTATTAGCCCTTTCCCCCCAAAGTCCTGACACTATTATCCAAGCTGGTTTCCATAATACTCCTTTCACATACCCCCTGAGATCTTTCTGGGGTCACGTTTCCCTGGGACGTATACTTCCTAATCGTTCCAGAATGGGGATGCTTGGGTCCACTTACTTTACTTATTTTACTTTTCATTTTCCCTATAAGACTATCTCCTCTTCTTTAATCTCTGGTGTATGTGCTATGCCTAGTCCCTTGGGAATGTTCAAATTTCTTCCGTCCCTTTACGAAGCCTCCTTTTTCCTCTGTATATTCCTCCCCCAGCTCCATTAGGGGTCCTTATACAGTCATTGTATACAGGGACAGTATACAGTCCAGCCGCTCTCACTCACCCTCCTCCTTGTAACTCTTTCAGTGAGGCGGCTTCACCTTCGCTATCGCCTGTTCCCGGTTCTCTCTTGTCCTTGTTCTCACTCTTTTAGGGGGATTCCTCCGGGTCCCTCTTTCTTCCTTTATCCACTCTCAGTTGCAGATAGCAGACAGGTTGCTTTCCTTTCAAGCCGGCGTCTCTCCGGCTCCCTTGGACGCCGGCCGGCTTTTTTCCATCCCAGCACTCCTCCACGGCTTTCACATGGCCACGCCACTTCCCTGGCAACGCAAAACTTCTTCCGGGTTTACCTCTCGGCAACACCCCGCTCCTCCTACATCCCCTCACGGACTCTTCTCAACCGCCAAAGACCCCCTCTTACACGGGTAAGTCCACGACGCAGCCAATGGGATACCTCCTGGGGTAAAGGGGGGGGGGGGGGGTTAACAGAGAGAGTCTACTCTGCTCTCTCCGTCTCCGCCATGCTCAGCCTCCTCCCCTCTCAATTACTGATTGAATTGAAGAGACATGCATTTCTTTTGAATTTTTTTGTTGCTATTCTGTCTCTCAGTGTTACAATATACCTACCATTCGATTTTTAGACTGATCATTTCTTTGTGAGTGGGCAAACATTCAAAATCAGCAGGGGATCAAATACTTATTTCGTTCACTGTATATATATATATATATATTTACTGAAATATATATATGAATATAGCCAAAATTGTAGCATTTCAAATATATGACAATATATTTGGGAAGCATATTTTTAAAATATATTTCAAATAGATTTTTCTTCCATATGGGTATTATGAGATCTTGCACAGGGATTCCTTAGGTGAGCTAGCCAGATTTACTAAGTTCCCAGAACGGATGTGTTTGAGGGGGTTGAGGAGGAAGTAGGAAGAACAGAGTGAAATTGAACAATGGGATGGTGCCTTAGGGATTTCAGTTGCTTTCAGGGGCCTGATCTGGCCATGAGGGTGTCAGAGCTAGGGAAAGATGGTGCCTTTGAAGGATGTGATCTGGCTTGGAAGAACTTTGAGACTTGCTGTGTCAAGGAAAGGATGAGGAGCTGTAATAAGAAGGCATGGCAGCAGAGATGAGGCAGCCAGAGAGGCCAAGATTGGGCAAAAGAGGGGAAAAGGTGGGACGGAAAAGAGGAGGAAAAAAAAGGAGGAAAATAAATCACTACTGAAGGCAGACTCTTCAAGTGATAAAAGTGATTTTCAGTCTGTCTTGCCATACAGCAATTATGTTTCACATATGAACGATTTACTTTAATCGCTGTAATAGAGCTAAATAGACCTATGTGCTGAATTAGGCTCCATGCATACTGGACTTTTTGTCACGAGATCTGAGAGCGCAGGGAGAGAGCACACGGAGACAGATACATGGTACCCCTACTCATTCACAAAAAACAAAACGTGTAGTGTGAAAAAAGACAGGACACGGTCTTTGACTAGTCCTTTATTAAAAGAAAAAGCTAAAAGAATGTCCCCCGCAGTAGATCCAACGTCAATCATGATTCCTGCCATCGCCGCAGCCAACCCAGAAAAAGTATTTTTAAAAAAGGCTCCGCTCGCTATGATGGCTTCCAGCCATCTGCCTGCTCCGGTGGTTTGACAGTTCTCGCTCATTCCCCCCATCTTTTCATGACCTGCCGGGCTGCATTTTCGGATAAGGGTCTGGTATGGATTTTGGGGGGTACCCCACGCCATTTTTTTGAATAATTTTTTAAATTGCCGGCAATTCTTTTACATTCAGCTGTCAGTGGGGAACTCCGCTGACAGCAGAAACATTAACAAATGGTTGTCACTACTAAAATACCGCATGACTTGATAAAATAACTCATGCGGTATTTTAGTAGTGTCTACTTTTTTTCTGACCTTCGAAACGGATTAATTGGTTTTCAATGCATTCCTATAGGAAACAACATTTCAGTTTACAAATTTTTCGCTATACGAAAAGTCCTGCAGAACGAATTAAATTCGTAAACCGAGATATTACTGTAAAACAATCCACACCCATAACTACACCACATAAAATAATGGTAAAATCTTAGTGTCCATATATTTTCATAAGAATCCTCTATGTCCAAAAATCCAACCGTGTAATCAATCAAATATGTACTACATGTGCTCTTCATTTCTAAAATCATTGTTTATATGATCACCACCTGTAGATACCCATCCACAGACAGTAATATAATCTCAGCTTTGTGACAGACCTCACAACAAGCAAGTATACAATCCAAATGCACACGTTCCTACGATAAAAATGGCTGTGTATATAGGTGGGTGCTGCAGCGTCTGTCAGCTGGAACCGAACAGAATCAGCAAAGGAGAATGTCCCCAGCGCACTGAGGGTCACCAATATGGGTCCAAAAGTTTTAATGAACGATCAGATAGTTACAGCAAGGCAACGTTGCCTGTGCGTTTTGACATGGTTTTGGCACATTCTGTGTTTCCGAGGCATTTTTCATGCATTCTAGTTCATTTTCTCCCCTCTCCTTTTCTTCAATTTAGATGGGGACATGTGTGTTACGTTGCATTTTTGGCACGTTTTGGTACGCTCTGCAGTGCGTTTTGATGCATTTTGCCGCGTTCCAGTGCAGTTCTGTACGGAGGAGATGCGGTGTGTTCTGCTATTTATCTGCGGCTGGAACGCACTGGAACTACAAGCACTGATGTGAACTATGACATTGACAACCATGTAGCCCGACTTTCTCTTTAGATGCAGATGGAAAGTAACTGAAACTATGTGATGTGAACTGGCCCTCAATCTGCTTTCTTTCTGTTCTTCTTTTTTCTTCACAGCTCATCTCTGCAACCCTGCCCAACCATTGGCTTGTGTGGCGCCGGCGCCATGTGTTTCCATGACGCCGGCGACCTGCCTCCGCCTTGTCAAGCCCGGCGCCGACGTCATGGGTTTCCATGATAACGGCAGCCGGTTCAGGAATGACTTTGAGCGCATGCGTGAGTAGAAAACTCACATGGTGCATGCAGGTGACATGCATCGCCATGACACTGTCGGCCACTGCACCAATAGGACCACTCTAGGTATGTCCTCATTGCAGCTCACTTGACAATAGGTGATACCCCCCCCACATCTCTAGGCAACAGCTTTTATCTTCTTTCAGGAACATATATGCTGCTGATCGTTGTTTCCATAATACAGCGCTGCTTTCAGCTGACACTTTATTACAATCCGGGGTGTACTATGATACACATGTGACCACAATGTTCCTATCCCCGGGAATGCAGTTTTATGCACATCTGATTATTGTTTTATGGTTTATATATTTTCGCAGTTTGTAATGTTTCTGTTTACATTGATTTGAATGCATTTTTGGAGGGAACATGACATCATGGGGTGGGGCCAGGCTCATTTCACTTCACTGTGATTGTTGGATGGTTTTCTTAAATAATTCTCCACTTTATTAGGTACGCCTTTCTAGTACCAGGTTGGACCCCCTTTTGCTTTCAGAAATACCTTAATTCTTCATGGCATAGATTCAACAAGGTGTTGGAAACATTCCTCAGAGATTTTGGTCCATATTGACATGAGTTACTGTTATATTTCTATCATCTCGAAAACCAGTCTGCCCATTCTCCTCTGACATCAACAAGACATTTTCGTTCACAGAACTGTCACTCACTGGATATTTTCTCTTTTTTGGACCATTCTTTGTAAACGATAGAGATGGTTGTGCGTGAAAATCCCAGCAGATCAGCAGTTTTTGAAATACTCAGACCAGCCCGTCTGGCACCAACAACCATGTTCAAAGTCACTAATATCCCCTTTCTTCCCCATTCTGATGCTTGGTTTGAACTTCAGCAAGTTGTTTTCACCATGTCTAGATGCCCAAATGTATTGAGTTGCTGCCATGTTATTGGCTAATTAGAAATTTGTGTTACCAAGTATTTGAACAGGTGTACCTAATAAAATAGCTGGAGAATGTATTAAATGTATGCAAGAGGCAATGCATTGCACAGAAGTAGTTAGCAGCTATAAATATTTAGACTCATCCATATTACATATAGAATGTTGCTCTATT